CTCAGCCATTTTAGACTCCTCTACTGAGAATTCTCTATTTAGTTCTGTACCCCACTTTTTGATTGGATCCTTTGATGTTTGGGGAGACTTGCTTCTTGAGTTCTTTGTAAATTTTTGGAGATCAACCCTCTGACAAATGTGAGGTTAGTGAATATCTTTTCCCAATCTGTGAGTTGCCTTTTTGTCTTGCTGACTGTGTCCTTTGCTTTACAGAAGCTTCTGAGTTTCAGGAGGTCCCATTTATTAATTGTCTATCTTAGTGTCTGTGCTACTGGAGTTATGTTCAAGAAACGGTCTCCTGTACCAATTTGTTCAAGGGTGCTTCCCACTTTCTCTTCTAAGAGGTTCAGTGTGTCTGGATTTATGTTGAGGTCTTTGATCCATTTGGATTTAAGTTTTGTACATGGTGATAGAAATAGATCTATCTATCTGCAGTCTTCTACATGTCAGCCTCCAGTTATGCCAGCACCATTTTTTAAAAGATGCTTTCATTTTTCCGTTGTATAATTTTAGCTTCTTTGTTAAAGATCAGGTGTTCATATGTGTATGGGTTAATGTTGGGATGTTCAATTTGATTCCATTGTTCTATGTGTCTATTTTTGTGCCAATACCAAGCTGTTTTCAGGACTATAGCTCTATAATAGAGCTTGAAGTTAGGGATGGTGATGCCTCCGGATGTTGCCTTGTTGAACAGGCTATCCTGGGTCTTTTGTTTTTCCATATAAAGTTGATTATTGTTCTTTCAAGGTCTGTGAAGAATTGTGCTGGGATTTTAATGGGGATTGCATTAAATCTGTATATTGCTTTGGGTAAGATTGCCAGTTTTGCTATGTTGATCCTACCTATCCAAGAGCATGGGAGATCTTTCCATCTTCTGGTGCCTTCTTTAATTTCTTTCTTTACAGACTCAAAGCCAGGCAGTGGAGGCGCATGCCTTTAATCCCAGCACTCTGGAGGCAGAGGCAGGCAGATCTCTGTGAGTTCGAGGCCGGGTTGGACCGACAGCCTCCAAAACAATACAGAGAAACCCTGTTTCGTAAAAACAAAAAAAACCCAAAACAAAACAAAAAAGACTCAAATTTCTTGCGTTACAGGTCTTTCACTTGTTAGGTTAATGTTACCCCAAGGTATTTTATGTTGTTTGTGGTTATTGTAAAGGGCAATGTTTCTCTGATTTCCTTCTCAGCCCTTTTATCATCTGTATATAGCAGGGCTAATTATTTTCTTGAGTTGATCTTGTATCCTGCTACTTTGCTGCAGGAGTTCCCTCGTAGAGTTTTTTGGGTCACTTATGTAAACTATCATATCATCTGCCAATAGTGAAAGTTTTGACCTCTTCCTTTCCAATTTGTATACCCTTGATCTCCCTTTGTTGTCATATTGCTCTAGCTAGAACTTCTAGTAAATATTGAAGAGTATGGAGAGAGTGGATAGCCTTGTCTTGTTCCTGATCTTAGAGGAATCATGTTGAGTTTCTGTCCATTTAGTTTGATGTTGGCTGTTGGTTTGCTGTATATAGCTTTTATTATTAAGGTAAGTTCCTGTTATCCCAGATCTCTCCAAGACCTTTATCATGAAGGGATGTTGGATTTTGTCAAAGGCTTTTTCAGCATCCAGTGAAATGATCATGTGATTTTTGTTTCTCAGCTTGTTTATATGGTGTATTACATTGATGGATTTTCGCATGTTGAACCAATGCTGCATGCCTGGGATGAAGCCTACTTGATCATGGTGGATGAGTTTTCTGATGTGTTCTTGGATCCGATTTGCCAGTATATTACTGAGTATTTTTGCATCAATGTTCATGAGGGATATTTGTCTGAAGTTCTTTCTTATTTGTGTCTTTGTGTGGCTTGTGTATCAAGGTTATTGAAGCCTCTTAGAAAGAGTTTGGCAAAGATCCTTCTGCTTCTATTGTGTGGAATACTTTGAGAAGAATTGGTATAAGCTGTTCTTTGAATTTCTGGTAAAATTCTGCACTGAGGACATCTGGCCCTGGGCTTTTTTTTTTTTTTGGTTGGGAGACTTTGATGAGTGCTTCTATTTCCTTGGGGGTTATAGGTCTATTTAAATTGCTTATCTGTTCTTGATTTAATTTTGGCAAGTGATATCTATCCAGAAAATTGTCCATTTCCTTTAGATTTCAAATTGTGTGGGTACAGGTTTTCAAAGTATGACCTGATGATTCTCTGGATTTCCTCAGTGTCCGTAGTTATGTCTCCCTTTTTATTTCTGATTTTGTTAATTTGCTTGTTCACACTCTGTTGTTTGGTAAGTTTGGATAAAGGTTTGTCTATCTTGTTGATTTTTTCAAAGAACCAACTCTTCGTTACGTTGATTTTTTTGTACTGTTTCCCTAGTTTCTGCTTTATTCATTTCATCCCTCAATTTGATTATTTCCTGGCAGATACTCCTCCTGGGTGAATTTGCTTCTTTGTGTTCTAGAGTTTTCAGTTGTGCTGTTAATTCTCTAGTGTAAACTCTTCTCCAGTTTCTTCATGTGGGCATTTAATGCTATGAACTTCCCTTATAGCACTGCTTTCAACATGTCCCATAAGTTTGGGTATGTTGTGTCCTCATTCTCATTGAATTCTAGGAAGTCTTTATTTTCTTTTTTTATTTCTTCTTTGACCAAGGAATGGTGCATTTGTGCATTATTCAACTTCCATGAGTTTGTAGGGTTTTTGAAATTTGTGTTGTTGTTGAATTTTAATTTTAACACATGGTGGTCTGATAAGGTGCATGAAGCTATTCCAAATTTTTTGTAACTGTTGAGGTTTGGTATGTTGCCAAGTATGTGGTCGATTTTTGAGAAGGTTCCACTTCGTGCTGAGAAGAAGGTATACTCTTTTTTATTTGGGTGGAATGCTCTATAGATGCCTGTTAATTCCAATTGGATCATAACTTCTATTAGTTCCTTTGCTTCTTTGTTAAGTTTATGTCTGATAGTCCTGTCTAGTGGTGAGAGTGGGGTGTTGAAGTCTCCCACTATAAGTGTGCGGGTCTTTACATGTGATTTGAGTTTTAGTAATGTTTCTTTTACGAACGTGGGTGCCTTTGTATTTGGGGCATAGATGTTCAATATTGAAACTTCATTTTGGTGGATTTCTCCTGTGATGAGTATGAAATGCCCTCCTTCATCACTTTTGATTGATTTTATTTTAAAATCTAATTTGTTAGATATTAGGATTACTACTCTGCTTGTTTCTTGGGTCCAATTGATTGGAAAATATTTTCCTTAACTCTGAGGAAATGTCTGTCTTTGAGGCTGAGGTGTGTTTCTTGTATGCAGCGGAAGGATGGGTTCTGTCTTCGAATCCATTCTGTTAGCTTGTGTCTCTTTATGGATGATTTAAGACCATTAATATTGAAGGATATTAATGACCATTGATTGCTCATTCTTGTTTGTTTTGGAATAGTTGATGGTGGTGGAATTATATGTGGATTTCTACCTCTTTTTTCTTTGGTGTTGGTAAGGTGGGATTATCTATTGCCTATGCTTTTCTGGTTGTAGTTAACTCTCTTGGATTGGAGTTTTCCTTCCAGAGCTTTCTGTAGGGCTGGTTAGTGGATACGTATTGTTTAAATTTGGCTTTGTCTTAGAATATGTTGTTTTCTCCATCTATTGTGATTGAAAGCTTTGCTTGATACAGCAGTCTAGGCTGGCATCCGTGGTCTCTTAGTGTTGGTAGAATATCTACCCAGGACCTTCTGGCTTTCAGAGTTTCCATGGAGAAGTCAGGTGTGATTCTGATAGGTTGGCCTTTGTATGTTTCTTGGCTTTTCCTTTGCTGCTATTAATATTCTTTCTTTATTCTGTATATTTGGGGTTTTTACTATTATGTGGGGAGGGGACTTCCTTTTGTGGTCCACTCTATATGGTGTTCTGTAGGCTTCTTGTAGTTTCATCGGCATGTCTTTCTTTAAGTTGGGGAAATTTTCTTCTATGATTTTGCTGAATATGTTTTCTGCCCCTTTGAGTTGGATTTCTTCTCATTTTCCTATACCTATTATTCTTAGGTTTGGTCTTTTCATGGTATACCATATTTCCTGGATATTTTATGTTAGGGATTTGTTGGAGTTAAGATTTTCTTTCATTGATGAATCTATTTCCCCTAGTGTATCTTCAACACCTGAGATTCTGTCTTCTGTCTCTTGTATTCTGTTGGTTATGCTTGTATCTGTAGTACCTGGCCATTTGCCCAGCTTTTCTATTTCCAGCATTCCTTCAGACTGTGGTTTGTTTTTTTTTGTGTGTGTCTCTATTTCAGCTTTCAACCCTTGCACTGTTTGAATTATTTCTTGTAATTTTTGCTTTGTCTTTTCCTCTCTTTCTTGCATTTATTGAATTTTTTGGTTTGTCTTTTCTTCCATTTCTTGCATTTGTTTGCATTGTTTCCCTCCATTTCTTGTATATTGTTTTTCCTCCATTTCTTGTATTTTTTGCTTTGTTTTTTCTTCCATGTCTTTAAGGAATTTTCTCATATCCTCTTTGAGGGCCTCTATCATTTTCATGAAGTTGTTTTTAAGGTCTTTCTCATCTGCTTCCTCCACAATGGGCTGTTCAGGTCTTGTGGGTGTAGATTTTCTAGTTTCTGATGGTGTCATATTGGGTTTTCTGTTGTTTTTATATTGTCTCCTTCCAATCATTTCTTCCTGTGGGTACAGAAGGAGTTTCTTCCTCCCCTGGTGGGTATGTGACTATGATTCCTTTCCAGTTGGTGGGAGCCTGCCCAATACCTTGGTGGCTTTCCTTTGCGTGGATGGAGGCTGTCCTAGTATTGGGACCTTGGCAAACTCTGGGTAGGCTGGACCCTTGCCTTGCCTGTCCTGTGGGTGGAGAATGGGACTTGGAAGCTGTCAGTCCCTGGGCGGGCTGAATCCTGTCGGGCTAGGATCCAGATCCACTGTGCACAGACCTCAGGTCTCCGATGGTTCTCCTAAAAGTATTTATAGACAAGTAAATGAATGGGTATTGTTGTGTGCCAATAAAACTTTATTTGTAAACATTGAAATTTCAATTCACATAATTTTCACATACTGAAAAATATGCCTCCTTCCATTTACCTCTACACTTATTGTGGTGCTTAAAAATGAACTTAGGTGCCTTGCACATGCTAGGCAAACTCTCTACCACAGAAATATATCCCCAGCCCTTCATTTGATTTTTTCAATCATTTAAAACAACAACAAATTACCTTGTGAGCAGCATATAAATAGGAAGTGGGATGCCATTTGCTAACTCCTGTCATACCTTGCTCACAAGAATAATCTAAGCCCTCACAGATTCTGTTAAAAATCTTCTTTGAGAGAACCAAATTGAGGAAATATAAAAGAACACACTGTCCGTGTGCTTTCTCCTTAATTTTAGGCTTTTATCTTTAGGTCAAGTCAAACTACTGGAGGACTCTAAACTTGTTGCATTCAAGTCAAATCAGTTCTGGACACAGCCTTCTTTACTAAATTAATTTAAAAATTATTATGATTTCTGCTTTTATTGATGGTCACTGAATGATTAAATAATTGTATTTCAGTTCTGGATCATGTAAAACAATTGTGACTGATAATGTTTCCTAGGGACTGAATGGAGATGGCTCAGTGGATAAGAGCACCAGGTTTGATTCCCAGCGCCCATAACTTACAACCTTCCGTAACCCCAGTTCCAGGGAGATGTGACATCCACTTCTGGACTCCTTGGGCACTGTATGACATAGTGCACAGATGTACATGCAGACAAAACACCCCATAACATAAACTAAAGATTTAAAAATCTTTAAAGCAAGAAGACATTCTCGCACAAACCACTCTGTGCCTGCATAAGGCAATCTGCAAGGTCTGTTCTTCAGGGTTCCCTTCTGAGGTGAACCTCTGTTTCCCCAGATCTTCCAGGCACTGTTACGGGCTTCTCTCTGCTGTTGCCATGGACTTTTTCTCTCTGCTAACTTCATGGTTTAACTGACTTCTGGAAATTTGATTTTGTTCTCCACCACACCGATGCTCACAGGAACTCAACACAGCACATTTCCAGGGGTTCCAGGATGGGAGATGCAGACATTAAATGGGAAAAAAGCCATCACTGTGACTATGAGGCCTTCCTTTTAAATATGAGTTTGGGTCTACTCTGAAGATACCGGTGATCCCCGCTCCCTACCCCTGGTCTGTTTAGAAGCCAGTGTTTTTTGGGAAAGGGGTGCCTTGTCCATCTTGGAAACAATGGTCACATATTCTCCAATGGGAAGATGGCAAAGGTAGCTTTCTCTGGCAAAGCGAATGTCCAAAGGGTCCTTCTATAGATTTGGCTTAGAGGATTTACTCTGTTCAGTTAACTGCACCTTAAAATGAAAGCAAGCACACTTAGCAGGTCGTCATTATGCGTTCCTGATACCATATCTGAGAGACAGCACACCGGTGACTTGCCCTGGAGGCTAAGATGTTGTGCACACACATCCCTCCCTGCCTAGCCCACAGATACGTGACTGAGCCTGTGCCAGATCAGATACTTACTCAGAGATGTTCTGCAATTTTTTTTACTCATCGACTTCAAAGACTTCAGTAATCTGAATCTCCTACCAAAAAGGGGCTGTTTTCAGTGATGCGTGGATAAGCGTCCCCGTTCGGAAGGTGGTCATGTGCCTACGCAGAGCTAAAAAGAGGACAGATGTCTCTATCCTCGTGCACTCTGAGCTTATACTTGGTCTTCATGTCCTGATAGCAGTCTACACCTTTGCTTTTCCTCTTCCTCTCTGAAGCATCCTGTTAATCTCCCATGAACCCTTTCCTGTGGGCCTCAAGTGCGTGGCGCTGAGTACGGGATTGGCCTCAGTGTCCCAGCTGTCAAGGTTGGCTCTTGTACCAGTCGTACGTGGAAATGTGAGTTAGCTTTGCCACCTCTGGGGTTGTCCAGCACTTCTAAGATGCTGAGTGCTTTACTGATGCTTCTGTTAATTTTACCCCAAGAATCAAATGTCCTGGGACAAATTTTGTTACAGGGCTATGAAGGCTTTTCCTTCCAAGTTACAACCAGTGCTCGCTCTCTCGGGACAGTTCCTCCTCCCTTAAGCCTGACCGTCTTTCAGGAGTTGGTGGCGTGGTTTGACTGATTTGGCTTATTTACTCACTAATCATCTTTGCTTCTCTCTTGGTCATTAGTCTCCTACGTGCTGCTCTGCTGAGAGTGGCCTGAGTTTTGTACGTGACAAGTGTGCACCACACTCACCCTTAAAAAGAGGAATTGCAGCTAGAGGAAGGGAGGCCTTTGAGATACAACTCTAAGGCTTCTGAAGAATCGATTCTTTTTTGACCTTTTAAAAATTTGGACCCCTGGAGCTGAAATTACAGGCAGTTGTGAGTCAGCTGATGTGGGTTCTGGGAACCAACCTCCAGTCCTCTGCAGGCCACACTCATAACTCCTAGCCACCTCTGCAGTACCGTGACTGTTTTTGCTTTATTGTTTTGAGGGGAATTAGGTCCAGAAGACAGCTTTGCTCTCAGTCATTCTAGGTACTCCTAGCCTAAGCATGTGAAATGTGTCTGTGACATGTGACCCAGGTCTTGAAGTATAACGGGGTAACAACAAGCAATACCAGGCAAACATAAGCATAGCCATAGAAATTGTTCTTTCTGACATCTGTAATCCAGGGAGATGTCAATGATGCCCAGATTATCAGTGTTCAGTCCTCCCACCTCCGTCACCATCTCCTCTCCTGTTCGCTCCTTCTCATTCTCCACTCTCCCTTAGAAGCATAGCTAACCCTACATGTCGTGTTCCCCTCCGGTAATGATTCTCCTCCTGTGTTGTCTGCCTTGGGGAATGTTACCATCCTGTCCAAACCCTGCACCCCTGTGCCTTCTATGCACTTCTCTCCCTTGCCTTATTGTTTAACTATTGGTTTCATCAGTTTCATGTCCTCTTTAACTCTGTCATCCATCTACTTGTTTCAACCCTCTTACTCCCAGGCTAGAGACCATTGATGGGGACATGTCCTTCTATATGTATGTTTCTCTTATTGGTTGATGAATAAAATACTGTTTGGCCAGTAGAGGCAGGAAGACAGGTGGGACTAGGAGTCAAGGAGAATTCTGGGAAAGATAGGCAGAGAGATGGCGGGAAAGAGAGTTGCCATGTAGACCACAAAGGAGTAACAGTCCCGGGCATTCTCCGGTAAGCCAAGACCATGTGGATATACATAGACTAATAGAAATGGGTTAATAATTAATACAGAACTAGCCAATAAGAAGCCCTAGCTATTGGTTAACAATTTTATAATTAATATAAGTCTTTGGGTTTTATTTGGGGCTGAGAAGGGTGGCAGGACCTGGCAGGACAAGAAAACCTCAGCCATGATTCCTCTCCCCCAGTCCCTAGCAACTTGTAATCCTGTCCCCTCCCTCTGTAACTCATTCTTCAGGACTCACTTTCCCTGGGGGATTTTCTTCATTCCTGTGGCACAATTAGGGGACTTGTCTCTGCTTCTACAACTTCCCTTATCTACACAGAATGCTTATTTTTGTCACAACGAACAGTAATCTCTTTCTTACCTTTGCTTTTGAGTCTCCATTGTAAAACACAGTCCTAATATATGATCAAGAAATGATTTTTTGAGACTGAGTGTTCCTGTGTAATCCCAGGATGTCCTCGAATTTGTGGTCCTTCTTTCCTCAGCCTCCCCAGTGATGGAATCAATAAGCGTTCAAATAAATGAACTATATGTTCATTCGTTCTGAAAGAAAATTGGAGATTTGAGCTTGTAACTTGGACGAGATAACAGGCTAAGGAATATTTTCTTTGTATGTCTTAATTATTTCCCAGTTTATAGCACTGGCATATAGAATTGATTATCTCTTATACTGCAAAGTGATTTCTGCTTCTCATTCTATCATTGACATTGTCTTGAAGGGAAGCATGTGTTTTGAGTTTCCATGGTGCTCTTGTGATTTCCACCGGGCTAGGATCAAAGCCGACTTTGTCAGGTCTGGGTAGCAGAGAAGAGGCAGCCCTCTCAGGAATCAGTCAGCTTGATGGGCTCCTCAGGTGGGAACAGTCCCTCCTTGGTATGCCAGTTAGGGTTGCAGCAGGCTCAGAGAAGTGGAGAATAGTGAGTGAAGAACCGGGAAGGAGCAGTAGCTGCAAATGCCAGAATTGTCAGAGACTGAATGTGAATGTCAAACCAGTATCATATAGTCAGGGATGTAAATACATCTGAGCAGCGTTACTTACTAGATGCCGCGTCCAGATGCGGATTTGTATTGATTCATCCCCAAGATGTATTTCAGGGGGTATTTAAAATACAGCATAGCTATACTCTGGTCAAGCAATCATGCCGAACAAAAGGCAGAGATCTGCCCAAAGAAGAGAAACGAATCTCCTGCTTGAAGAGAGTGGCATCATTAAGCATGGAACCTGGTCCAGAGTTTTCCAAAAACATTGGCCAAGAAGGGTTCATAATCTTGAATTACAATGAAGTAGTTCTACAGTCTTGTATAGATGTTTAAAGAGAGTCAGTGTTAGGTAGGAGAGAAAATTGTTTTTTGCTTATGGACTCGGGAAGATTCTCCGTGAAGGTTAATCAAAGAAACAGTAAGCATTATAATACACTACTTAGAGGTGTAGTATTCTTATCAAGGCTTTATTTATCTTTTTTGATAGATGGTGTTCTGAAAGCACAGAATTAGAATTTCTTGATCTCGCCTATATTTATGCTTTACTTCTTTAAATTCTTTATTGTCATAATCAGAATCCAAATATAGGAACATTGTTCTTCACATTATTTCTTAGGGCTTCCACTAATTGTGTCTTTATTTATTGGTTTAAATGCTTTTCTCAGTAGCTTTTGCTCTTTAATTAAGATTATCAGATACTATAATTAAACCCTTAAATTGTCATCATCAGTTTGCTTAAATTAGCTATTTCCTGAGTGATCATTGTCATGCATTCTTTACTCTCTTGCTTGGAGTCTCTTCTGTTCCTGTTTCTGTGGCTTCATAGCCCACCCCACTTCCTGCTTCCTCTGATGTCTGTGTGGATACAAATATGAGCGGCCAGCTCCTCTTTCCTGCTGCCAAGCAGACCCCACCCATTGTGGATTCTAGCTTCCTGGAACTATAGGCCAAAATGAGCTGTCTCAAGTTCTGGTTATGGTGTTTTATCATAGAATCAGAAAAGTAGCAACTACTGGGTTTCATATTAGTGGCAAAATTGTTGAGATTTTATGATTTATTCATAGATAGTCTTGCACAGATTCTCACTGAAGTGTTCAAAGATATTTTTCTGTAATGTAACAGAAAAATAAAAGCAATGTTAACTCATGAAGGGATATTTTTAGATCGATACTTTGAACTATAAGAATATATGATACTCGGCGATGAATTCACTGAAATAGAAGTCAAGAAAACAGTCCCATTGGCAATAACCCCTCCAAAAATGTCACAACAAATAAAATTCTTGGCATGAAACTTAACTAAATATAGTAAAGCCCTCTACAATGAAAACTATAAATCACTTGTGAAAGAAACTAAAGAAAGAGAATATGAAAGACTGTCCATTTTTATGGTTCAGCCAAATTAATACTGTGAAAACAGCCATATCATCAAAATAATGTATAGATCCAATACAATCTCAATAAAATCCCAATGTCATTCTCTGTAGAAATAGAAAAGCAATCCTAAAATGCCTGTGAAAGTAAAAGAAATCAAAAGTAGGCAAAGTAATACTAAGCAAGATCAAGGCTAGAGGTATAGCAACATCTGACTTCAAATTATACTGTATAGTGTGTAATTATAAAATAAGCATGATGTTGTAACAAAACTAGACATGTAGATTAAAGTGTTAGAAGGCTCAAAGTCAGCCCACACATTTACAGTCATCTTATTTTTGACAATGGTCCAAAAACATATTTTGGAGAAAACACAAACTCTTTTATCAAGTAGTAACAGGAAAACTAAGTATCTACATATAGACAAAACTAGATCTATATCTCTCACCTTGTACCTTCTCAATGACCTTAATGTAAGATCTGAAACTTTGAAACTACTAGATGAGGTCTGGTGTAGTAATGCATACCTTTAATACCAATATTTGGGAGGCAGAAGTAGGCAGATCTCTGAGAGTTTGTTCAGCCTTGTCTACATAGTGAATTTCAGGATTGCTAGGACTAAATGACCAACCAAATGAAACAGCAACAACAAACTACTAAATGAAAGCACAGGGAAAATAGGAAAATATCTAGGCATAGGCAATGACTTTGTGGATAGGATTCTAATAGTTTAGGAAATAAGAATCAACAGATTGGATTTCATTAAATTGGAAGGTTTCTGTATAGCAGACAGTAGAAGACAATCAGTGGATTGAGCATACAGCATACAGAATGGGAAAAAAACTTCTCCAGCTAGCCACCTGACCAATAATAATATTCAGAATATTTTTAAAAATAAAAAATGAAATACCCCAAACCAAATAATTTGATCAGAAGACAATTCTCATTATAAACATTATAAATGGATGATAAATCTATGAAAAAAGAGTCAACATCATTTGTAATGATGATACACAAAAGAAAGACTGACTCAAAGTCATTTCTCCAAGAGCGAACCTGATTTATTCAGAAGAGTTCTCGTCTCTCCTGTTCAAATCTGAGAGATGGCAAACCTAAGTATAGCCTAAGAGTCCTGAACAAAGGCCATCTTCTCTGAATATCGAACAGCACAGCCAATATGGTAACGGAAAGGAATGAAGGACTTTTGTTTTCATTTTTTACAGGAGTTCCACAAGGGAGGAAACTGCTTTTCTGGTCCTATTGATTCAGAACAGCATACAAAGATACATCAAATATTAATCTCTATCCACTGGTAGAGGGGGCTCTGTTGTCTATGCCTTGCCACTTCCAGTAAATGATCTCAGTCCTGGTCACCACCCCTCAGGCACACACACTAATGTTCTGAGTCAGGGCTGTGAAAGACTCCAAGAGGTAAAATACAGAACATGGTACATGAAGGAGTCCAAGGAATAGTAAGACTGATCACAATGTTCTCCTTAAAAGTCAGTCAATTCTGAACAGGTTGAGCATACAGTATGTAAACAGAATGAATTCGTAGTTATAAATCATCTCAAAGCATGTCACCAACTTGGGTGAAAGTTTTATTTATAAAGACAAACTCTAAACAGCATTTCTCAGAAAAAAACCATTCCCATATGTCTTAATTACAGTTCTGTTGCTGTGAAGAGTCACCACGACCAAGGCAACTCTTGGAAAGAAAGCATTTAGTTGGCAGCTTCAATACAGTTTCATCATGGCAGAATGCATGGCAGGAGGAAGACACGGGGCTGAGAGCTTACATTCCAATCCATAGGCAAGCAGACAGAGAGACACTGGGTGTGGTGTGAGCTTTGAAACTTCAAAGGCCCTCCCCAACTGTTCACCTCTTCCAAGAAGGCCGCACCTCCTAATCTTCCCAAATAGCCCACCGATTTGGGACTAAGCATGAAAATATATGAGCCCATCAGGGCTACTGTCATCCAAACCATCACACCACAGTTCTCCCCTCTTTCCTTTCATGGTCCCAGGTGATGGACTGAAGAGGTGACGCTGTTGGATTCAAGTTCAGGAGATCTTTCCTCTTCTGTCAGGTTGTTGTCTTCTGTTACCAGACTAGGGAACAGTTTTATCAGCCACATTGAGATCCAGAGGAGAAAGAAAACAGAGGGGAAGCCTTGACTCTCATCGATGACTGGAATAGTGTCCACCCATGGCCTTTGATATAAAACCATCCATTTAGGTAAAACATTTCTTATGATGTTTTCCCACAGGTGTTAGTGAGGGAAACTGAGAGGAGTCATTTTACAGATTTAAAGTATGTTGCTTTATCAATTTGCTGTTAACCCCTGATCCTTAGCATCCAGAGCAAAGTAAGCCACTGTACACTGAGATTCTATCTCCTGAGTCCAGAATGAGTATCACCAAGAAACTAAAACCAACAAATGTTGGCAAGGATGTGTGCGTCTGAGGGGTGTGTATGGGGAAACAATTTATGCAGTGGTGGTGAGAATTAAATTTGTCTGGCACTGTGGAGATCAGAAGAGAGGTTATCCCTAAAATTAAAAATAGAACTACCATATGCCTCAACATGACTATATAGCCCTCCCTGCAAAAGAAACAAAGTCAGTTTACTGTAGGGTTACCTGCATACTCCTGTTACTGATGCAGTATATACAATGGCCAAGGTGCAGAATCTTCCTGGGTGTTCCATGACAGATGGGGGAAGAAAGTGTGGCATATGTGCACAGTAGATCTGGATTCAGTTACACATAAGAACGAAACTATTAGTAGGAAAACCGACAAAATTGGAAGTCACTATGTTAAGTGAAACAAGCCAGTCTCAGAAAGATAAACATGACACCTTTTCTCTCATATGTAATTCGTAAAGGGAAAGAGACAGAGGAGATAGGATAAAAAAGAACAATATAGGGGCTGACTATGGTCAAAATACATTATATTTTGTGTGGGAATGTCATGACAAAACCCCTCACTGAGCCTTTGGGGGAAAGACATGAAGGAATATTTTAATAGGATAAATAAATACACAAAATAGATAAGTAGCTGGGGCTAGAGCTAAGCCTGGAGGAACATGCCTGTGATGCTTCCACTTGGGAAGCCAAGTCAGGGGACTTGTGGCAAGTTCAAACCCATCTTGGGCAACCAGTGAGACCTTGTTTCAAAAATAGTTT